CTTCCTCAGAACAGGCCCCTGGGGAGGGCCAAGCCCATTAGTGGCCCAAGTGTGGGTGGCCTCCCGCCCCCACTGCCCATCCCCGGCCACTCACAGGCGACGGAGCTGAGGAGTGAAATGGAAGGCATCTGGCGCCACGGAACGGAGACCACTCTTCACGATGGTGCTGGGGAGGGGTGTTCGAGATCAGCCCCAGGTCCTCTGCTGCTCTGGGTCCCTGGCCCTGTCTGCCCAGCCCCGCCCCCAGTCCCCATTGCCGAGCCCTGTGCCCCTCCCCAGCCTCCTCGTAGTTTCCTCAGCTATTCTGGACCCCTCAGCACCCTCAGCTTCCTAACCAACCCCCTCTCCCGCCACACCCACATCACTCGGTCCCCAGCCTCTCAGGTCCTCCCAGGCCCTGGGACCTGCACCCTCCGGGACCTTCTGAGCCCACACCCGCCCAGTCCCCAGTTCCCTCACAGGTTCCTCAGCTCCCCCAGGCCCCTCAGGTCATGGAGCTCCAGATGCTGCAGATGCTGCTGGTTCTCGATGTACCTGTGGGAGAGGGGATGGGAGTCACGGGCGTCAGGCCCACACTTGGGTTCCCACGCCCGCCCACCTGCCTTCCTCTCAGTCACACACAGCACACGCACGTGCACCCACTCACACACGGACCTGCCTTCACACACACACTGGCATGCACACACGTACACACGCGGGCATAGAGATACCCCCTCGCAAGTCACACGTGCACATGCGTGTGCACAAACACACAGGCACATGCATACTTCCATCCTCACACGCTCACGCTTACGCACTCTCACCTCTTGCACACATGCACACACCCAAGCATACAACATACACACACACAGAGGCACAAACATCTGCACATTCCCACATTCAGGAACACACACATGTGCATGCTCACATCCTCGCACATGGGCACACATAAGCAAAGCTCACATATGTCTCTCATGTGCACACTCACTCACATTGATAAACACATACAAGTCCATTCTCAGCTTGGTGTTCTACTTTTGTACCAGGCCTCCCAGGCTCACACTCAACAAAGGGAGGGGGGTCATGCTGAAACAGTTGCTTCCACAAAGGGCCTGGGCTCATCACTGCCACTGCCCCACCCAGCAGTGGAAGACTATGGTCATGCACATGCGTGTTCTCAAACACACCTGCTCAAGGGCCACTATCTGGGCTCACCCATACTGCTACACACATACACATACCCCACCCTCTCTGCCCCTCATAGCCTCTGTCGTTCCCCATACTCAAGCAGCAACCCCTACTCCCCCCAACCCCCACCCTTTGGGCAGATGGAGCGGGAGAGTAGAGCTGTCAGTCAGGCACCCCCAGGACGGACCCAGGAAGCAGGAGAGGGGTAATGAGAGGATGGAGTCAGAGCATGTGGGGTGGGGAGAAGAGGGTGGCTGGCTGATCACATAGTGAGAGGGAGGGAAAGGCTCAATGTGGTGGGGGACAGAGGTGGGCAGAAGGGCAGAAAAACAAAGAGAGAGTGAAACAGAGACACAGAGAAAGGGAAACTGGCAGGAAGAGACTGTCAGAGAGAGAGAGAGAGACAGAGGAGAGGAGAAAGATAAGGAAAGGGAGACAGAGAGACAGATAGATAAGGACAGAGCGCCAGAGAAATAAGACAGGGAGACAAGAAAGAAAGAAGAATGAGGAGGCATTAGGAGCTGGGGGTGGCTGACGCCCTGGGCCTGCCTAGCTGCTGGATCCGGCATACCAGGGAGTTCCTGAGAACTCAGCTGCCCTGCAGTGGCATGTTAGTGTGCCACACACACACGCACACCCATGACGGGGCCCCTGACGCACTGCCAGTTCTCAGAACTGCCCCTGTACCCTCAAACTTCCCCTAACTTGTAGGAACCAGGACCAGCCTAAGTGACCCCTCCCTTTCCCCCCTTCCCAACCTTGGCCCCACAAGAATAGCCAGGTATCAGGTCCTAAGTCCCCTGCAACCTAGGAAGTAACCTCCAGTGACTCCAAGGGAGGGCAAGTCCCTGTTCTACTCACCCCATCCCCAGTCCCTGCCCAGGGGGCTTCAAGCTGTAGGGACCCAGGGAAGGGTGAGAGTGCAGTAGGCCAGCAGGGTGTGTGGAGCTGTCAGGCAGTGTGCTCAAAGCTGCCTCATTCGTTTGGATTCATAATCAATCTGTCTATTCGAGTCCATTATCTCCTCGTTAGCTCTGCGGGTGAGGGATGAGGGAGGGGTCTGTGTAGGCGGGTTGGGGGGGTCAGGCTGCAGCCCCACCCAGGGGGACTTCTCCGCTCACCATTCTGCATGCTGCCCAGTCCCCAGCCCTGTCCTGTCCACTCTCCCTACCCCCCATCCTGGACTGGACACAGTTGAGGCTTGGAGGGGAATTGGGAAACAAGAACACAGATGGGGAGCACTCCAGAGCCCGGACCCGGGTTTGAAGACCCAGGATGATGAGAGGACTGGACTGAGGCTGGCAGCCTGGATTTCATGCTCCTTTCCATGATGCAGAGACCTGGGCCCAGACCAAGACAAGGCCATCTCCTCTCCTCCTGGTCTCCCCAGAGCCATTAGAGAGAGAGAGATTGAGTACCTTCCCGTTAATTACCATGACATGCCCGAATAACTCAGTGCCAATTATTGCGGGCTGCTCAAGTAACTTCCAGACAGTGATGATCCCCACCTCGGATACCTTCCAGCCCAGCACTGCACGAAGCCAGGGTTCCTTTCCCACCCTCTAAGCCCCAGACCACGATTTTCTAGTAGTTCCCTCCCTCTTCTAGAAGTCTTGCTGGCCCTGCCAGCCACACAGAATACTCAAGTATTTTCCAGCCATTACCATGTGATGCTTGAGTACCTCTAGGACAATTATTACAGCATACTCCCATAGATTTCACCCGCTGCTAAAAAGTACTTGAGTATTTTGTAACCATTTGCTGCAGGATGTCAGAGTACTGCAGAAGGCTGGAGATTTCTCCCAGCTTTGCGTCCCAGAGGGAGGAGGGTCTCTAAGCAAGGGCCCTGACTCTCTGCCCCAAGTAAGGAGACAAGAGTGGAAAGGGAGAGGGGCCTCATTCCCCACATCCTAATCAAAGGGTCCTGGGGGCAAGGGATGGCGGAAATGGGAAGAGGAGAGCTCAACCACCACGCTATGACTCCTCCCCACCTTCCACCTATTCCACCTCAATTCCCAAGTCCAGGGAAGAGCTGGGGTTGCCTGGTCATGACAAGGAAGGGGGTGGGGGCTGGTTTGCCCCAGAAAAGGGAAAAAGTAAAGGTAAGGTGCCAATCTGAGGGGTTTTCAGCAGCTAACCATCCCTCTCCATAGTGCAGAGCCTGGGCCTCTGGCCGAGCTCCAGAAAGAGGCTTCTAGACGGCTGAGCTCTTGCAGACCTGGTCCATGGAAATCCCCTCGCTCTCCTGGAAGCCGGCGCACCAACTGCCCTGAGCCCTAGGCGACATGCAGGCAGTGACTGAGAGGGGAGGCTTGGGGGGGGAGGCTTGCGGAGGGGCAACGGTGGCAACGGAGGAACGCCCGGGCACCGCCAAGGGCTGCGTGGTGCCAGCCTTCTGCAGCACCCACCCCTGCCTGACCCAGCAAACAGGCGGCAAGTTCGCACCCTCGGGGCACAGCTACGCCCTCCTGTCCCCGAGCCCGCTCGACCGCGGGACACTCACAGCTCCGTCAGGTTCTCCGCGCCCGGCAGGTGGTGGAGGCTATTCAGGGCCCCAGCCCGTGTGCATCGCAGCCCCGAGGGGCCGTAGGGGTAGCAGGCATCCGGGCAGGGCGCGGCGCCCGCAGATGCCAGCATCAGCCAAGCCAGCAGGCTGCCCGGCCCCGTAGCCCGGTCGCGCCAGCCGAGTTGCTCGCGCCGTCCGCCTAGCAGCATCGCGGCGGCGCCCGCCTCGCTCCGGCCGGGCTGCCGTCTGTGCGCTCCGAGCTGCCGCTGCCAGGCCTCCCCCGACATGTGCGCGGGGCGGCGTTAAAGACCCAGCCGCCAGGAAAGGGCGGGGCCAGCGGCCCCCGCCCGGCCCCGCCCCGCCCCTCGGCTCCATCCCCGCCCCCTCCTCTCTGACGCCCCCAACTCTGCCCCCTCCCCTTTCGGGGGCCGCTAGCGCCAACCTCTCCCCCAGGATCTCCCCAGCTCCGGGAGACGCTGAGGGGCCACTGCAGGACGCCTTAGAGGTGTCTGCTGGGGCGGGGGTGACAGTGGGAAGCTGACACGGTATTTCTCCCAGCCTAAAGCAGCTGCATTTTTAGATTTGGGGAGGAGGGGAGATGACTGAGCTGGGGAAATGTTGCCGTCCAGGTCATGCTAGCCAGCCCCCAGCCCCAGAGCACCCTCCTCACTGCGTGTGCATGCGGGACTGGGCATGTCACTTGGGGTAAATTAGGTGAGCAGTCTCTGAACCCTAGGAAGAAAAGGGAAAGGATCCCAAAAGGGCCAAATGCAGAACCTGGGGAGGAAAACACAGAAGGGGTAGAGAAGGGGAAGGGGTCGCCTAAAACCAGCCAAAGAAGGGAGTCCAGAGAGCCAAGACTGCGCCTTCCAGGCGAGGCCACAGGGTGGCGCTAGAAGCCAAAAGGTGTGAGCTCCCTGTCCAGGTTGGGTGGGTCCTGGCGCGGTCCCCCCCACCGCGCCGTGCCCCGGGTCCCAGCGTCGGGCTCTGACCCCCGCCAGCCAGCTCTGGCCCCCGGGCCGGGTAGGGCCAGGCAGGGCAGGGCTGGCATCGATCGCCTCCCTGACAAGAGCATCGATTTCTTCACGGAGAAATTAATAGATCTTCTCTTAGCTCCTCGGATGCGGGAGCTGCCCGCGGGTGGAGCTGGGGACCCGTCGCCCTCGGAGACTGCGCACCTGGAATGCGCTGGGATCCGGCGCGGGGGGCTGGTGCTGGCCCTTCGCACCCCGCGGGCCTTGTAGCTGCGCGAGTCCTCTGTCTGGAGCACGGGAGAGGGAGGGGGAGAGGGTCCTGCAGGAGGAACTCGTGGGAAGGGGGCGAGACGAGGGCCAGGGGAGCGGGCGAAGGAAGGCTTCCTAGAGGCGCGCGGCTCTCCCCGCCTGGGCTCCAGCACCAGCGGTGCCCCGAGTCCCCGAGACGGGGCCACACAGATAGACTGACCGAGTAGCCTGCGTTCAGGAAGGCGACCCGACAGAGGCAGAGCCCCACGGAGCGATCGCCCTCTTCCCCAGGATCTTGGTCAGAAGCAAGGGACTCGGCAACGACCGAGCCGACTGGGGCTAAGGGCCCCGAAAGCGGACAGGGCGGCCTCCCGGGAGGCTGAGAGGGGCTCGGACAGGCCAACGGCTTGAGCACTAAGGAGTTACTGTCCACGTTCCCGCCAGGTGGCAACGAGCTCTCTCCGCCCGCTCGAGGCTCTCAGAAGTTACCCCGCAGGTGTCGAGGCCCTGGGAGGAGACGGAATCTGGACACACCGCCCCTCAGGGGACAGGCGCTGGCCGCCCCTTCGGCAGGCCGGGCCGCCCCGCTTGGAAGAAGCCAGGGTGGAGGTGGGGAAGGAGGGAGAACCCACCGCAGCCGCAGGGTGGGGGTGCGGGGAGCTCAGTTCTTGACCTGCCCTCCCCCACCCCGTATTTTGGCCTTATTTCCCCAACAGACCTGCCCCCCTCAGTTGTCAGGCCAAATATTTTGGCTTGGCCGGAGGGGCGGAGAGAACCGAGAGGTCCCTGCAAACCAATCCGTGCCGAGTGGGGGCGGGGAGGCGGGCGCTGGGCGCGGCCCCGGCGTGCCCGCCCGGAGATACCGAGGCGAGCGAGGCCAGCGGGCGCTTGGGAGCCGGGCGCTCCGAGGGGTCCGGAGACTCCCCCCTGTCGAGTCCCTGGCGCCCCGGGACCCCCGCTGCCCTCCGCCCAAGCGCTCCCGGGCCTCTGCTGTGCCCTCGGGGTTGGCTGGCCTCTTGGCCTGGCTTTTACTCTGAACCCTGTGTCACTCTCTCCCTCTGGAGGCCTCTCTGAGGCTCTCCCTGTCACTGTTGCCATCTCTGTCCCCATCTCTCTGTCTCTGGATTCACAGAGTCTGTCTCCACCTGCCTGTCACTGTCTTTGTACCTCTGCGTCTCTTATTTCTTTTTTCCGTCTCCTGCTGTCTCTATGTGGGACTCCTGGTCTCTCTGCCCCTGCCCTCCCCCTCCTCTCTGAAGCCTGGGTCTCTGTGTCCCTTAGAGACCCTTCTCTTCCCTGGAGCCACCTGGAGGAGACCCAGAACTGGACCCAGCCAGGGCTGAGAGGATGGCAGTGCCCAGACTGCGGCCCTGGGGAGCACGCCTGCTCGTGCTCTTCCTCTCCTGGGGATCCGGCCTGGACACTCTACAGGGTGAGTCCCCAGCACTGGCTCCTGGACCCCCATCTCCCTCCCAGCCAGCTGGGGTGCCAAATAACCAGGCTTCCAGCCAGAGTACATCTACTTACTCTGCCCTGTGATGGGAGACTGGGGTTAGCTCTCAGAAGGACTTCCCAAACAAGCAGTTAGTTCCTCACATAAAGTTGTTTTTCTCAGCTCCCTGGGAGGTGAGAAGGACTTCAAAATAAGGGGGTGAATAGATGTCCTCCCTTCCTGCTTTTGAAATCATTATCCCAGCAAAGCCCGAATGAGAACCAAAATGAGGCTATGGAGAGTGTTGGAGGTTCTCTCTAAGGCTACTGAGTGGGAAGGGGCAGGCATGGGGCAGGTAGCCGAGAACCAGGCACCAATAAGAAGTAACTGAGCCTTTTGTGCAGGCAGGAAACTGAGGCTCAGGGACTAAGGGTAAGGCCTAAGTCCTGAGCTCCTGCCTCCAGGGCTCTGTTCCATGTCCCCCACCCTGAGGGCCCATCCACTGTGGGGGTGCAGAGGCTGTTTTGGGGGAGGACTGCTTTTCCTCCGGTTCTCCGGGGCCTATGCCCCAGGCTAGACACTCCCCAGCAGTAGGGCTTGGGGAGTGGGGGGCGGGACTACGTGGGCTAAGCAGCCCTCACTGGGGGTTATGGGCGCTTGTTGGGGAGAGGAAAACAGCTGAGGAAGGAAGATTCCAAAAGGGAAGGATTAAGAGGTATCCCTGTCCCCAATTCTCTTCTTCCCCTCCAGACCGAGAAAGCTCAGGGAGCCAGCACTCTGTGCCTGCCTGAGGGGTCCCATGATACCCCTCAGACTGGGGCAGAGGCTCCCCTTCCTACAGAGACAGAGGAGTGATGCCAATGGGTTTGGGAGGGGGAAGGTCCCCTGAAGGGTGCTAGTCACGGAGGCTCTGCCTGGAGGGTACAGTGCCCCCACCACCACCGAACCCCCTCCACCCTCCCCCTGCTGCCAGGATAGGGCACAGCAGATGCCAGCTGGGAGTACGGTTGTCAGGACAGGAACACGCCCTTGTGGGAGTTGGTATTTGGTCAGGGGACACAGATGTCCCATTCCCAGCGTAGCTCTGCACAGAACCACGTCCTCAGGGAAAGCAGGGGTTAATGTGTGAAGGTCTTAGATGTGTTTTTCCAAATGACTCCCATCAGGGGAGCCCTAGAGAGGCAGGGGCATGATGGGAAGTGGGCGCCTGAGAGAACCCCCCATCTGACTCACAGAGCCTGATTGGCCTTTGCTTGGAGGGGAGAGAAGTGTTTTCTCAATCTCCTCGTGTGTGTGTGTGTGTGTGTGTGTGTGTGTGTGTGTGTGTGTGTGTACACCTGCATGGGCTCAGACACACACAGAGCTGCTGGGGACAGCCAAGCTCAACACCATTGATGACAAGAGGGAAAAGGTGTGATGTAACCCCCAGGGAGCCAGCCCTGCCTGCCCACTCCCTTAACAAACCATCAGGAGGGCCAGGCACGGTGGCTCACGCCTGTAATCCTAACACTCTGGGAGGCCAAGGCGGGAGGATCGCTCAAGGTCAGGAGTTCGAAACCAGCCTGAGCAAGAGCGAGACCCCATCTCTACTATAAACAGAAAGAAATTAATTGCCCAACTAATATATATAGAAAAAATGAGCCAGGCATGGTGGCGCATGCCTGTAGTCCCAGCTATTTGGGAGGCTGAGGCAGAAGGATTGCTTGAGCCCAGGAGTTGGAGGTTGCTGTGAGCTAGGCTGACGCTATGGCACTCACTCTAGCCCAGGCAACAAAGTGAGACTGTGTCTCAAAAAAAAAAACCATCAGGGGATGGGCCTGGGCAGTGTGTGTGTGGTGTGTGACGTTGCTAGAGGGCTAGGTAGGAAGGGAACTAGAGACTAGAGGAGTCGGCAGGACCTGAATGTCAGGTTCAAGAATTCAGACTTGAATTTTCTGCAATTGAAGAGCCATGGAAGGTCCCCTTGGGAACAAGTAAGTCCAGGCATCTAGCCTCCTTAAGGGAATAGTCTTGGGTGTCTTGGGAGAGAAGGGGGAGTGGGGCTGGGGCCTGGGTCTGAAGAAGCCAGACATACCTGGGTCCTCACAGGAAGAGTAGACTTGGGACCCAGATGTCCATTGTCCATGGTCCCTGAGTGCCCAGTGGTTCCAGCCCTGGTCTGGGCATCATGGGGGATGCAGAGCTGACTAACAAGGTCCCCACTCCTTGGAGGGGGTGACAGAAATGTAGACAACAATGCTGGGGCAATGCCTCACATATGCTCGCATGGGCACTGGACTAAGTGCAGCCGAGCATGAAGGGGAAGTGATTAACTCAGGGTCAGAGAGTCAGAGAAGGGAGGCTTGGCCTCAGGCTTGCAGGACAAGGGCTGAAGGAGCCTTCTGAGGCTGGAGATGTGAATGGGGACAAGTTTATACCCTGGAATGTGTAAAGGAACAGAAACTTGAATCTTTAGCAATGGGGAGCCATGGACTGTCCCTTCAAGAGTAAACAAATGCAGGGGGAAAGCATCCAGCTCCCTTAGAACTGAGAGAGATGTGGGGTGGACGAAGCTCAGACCATTGCTTTCCAGTCACAGAATTCACTCATTCATTCACTCATTCACTCATTCACTCACTCATCAAACTTTTATTGAGTGCCAATTTTGTGCCAGGCACTATACCAGGCACTAGGATACAGCAATGAGTCATACAAATATCCCTGCCCTTATGGAGCTTACAATAAACAAAATAGATATATTTACAATAATATACATAAGTAAATATATATAAATTACATATTAGCCAATGTTAAGAAAATACATATTAATATATAAATTGTATATCAGTCAGTATCAAGAATTTTAGAGAAATATAAAGCAGGAAGAGGAGTAGGGAGTGTCACAATTTTAAATAGGATGGTCAGGCCAGGTGCAGTGGCCCATGCCTGTAATCCCAGCACTTTGGGAGGCCAAGGCAGGAGGACCACTGAGACCAGGAATTCAAGACAAGTCTAGGCAACACAGTGAGATCCCACTGCTACAAAAAATAATTAGCCAGGTGTATTGGCATATGCTTGTAGTCCCAGCTACTCAGGAGGCTGAGGCAAGAGGATCACTTGAGCCCAGGAATTCAAGGCTGCAGTGAGCTATGATGGTGCCACTGCACTCCAGCCCGGGTGACAGAGAGAGACTGTCTCAAATAAATAAACAAATAGATAAATAGGACGGTCAGAGAAGGCCTCATTGAGAAGGTGGTATTTGAGCATAGACATAAGGAGGTGAAGGCACCATGTAGACAGAAGAGGGTTCCAGCCAGAGTGATCAGGAAGTATAAAGACCATGAGGCAGGAGCCTGGCTGGCTCGTTTGAGGAACAAAGCAAGGTGGTCAAAGTGGCTGAAGAAGAGAAAGAAAAAGAATGAAATCAGAGAGGTTACAGGGCCCCAGATGGTGTGGGACCTCACAGGTCATGAGGAGGTCCTTGGGTTTTAGATGGAGCAAGGTGGGCACCATTGGAGGGGTCCAAGCAGAGGAGGAACATGATCAGCTGTGTTTTGAGACGATCACTCTGGCTTCAGAGTGGAGAACAGACCACAGAGGGGACGAGGGTGGAGGCGGGGAGACAATCTGGGTTTAACAGACTTACAGGCTGTTACTGTAAGTCCAGGGAAAGAGGGTGGTGGAAGCAGTGACGGTGGTGACAAGTGGTCAGACTGGATGGGTTTTAAAGATAGAGCCCACAGGATACAGAAGGTGAGAGAAGGAAAGGAGTCGAGGATGGGCTTAGATTTGGAGCCTGACTGCAAGAATGAGCTTGCGATGAGCTAAGAAGGAGAAGGGGGCCTGGGAGGGGAGGTCAGGAGCTCACGTTTGCCCAAGGCAGGACCCTAAAGCTACAGGGGAGCCCTCTGAGGCCCAGAGAGGAGGCCACTCCACACGCGGAGCAGAGCCTGGCTCCCCACTCAGTGTCCTAGTGCCAGTGCGGGTCCCCTCAAAGCTGTCCAGGCTGGGTGGGAGCTTGGCCCGGGCTGTGCTTACTGCCGTGTGCCATGTGTGCCCACAGTGTGCCCCAGCCTGGACATCCGCTCAGAGGTGGCGGAGCTGCGTCGGCTGGAGAACTGCAACGTGGTCGAGGGCCACCTGCAGATCCTGCTCATGTTCACAGCCACGGGGGAGGATTTCCGAGGCCTCAGTTTCCCGCGCCTCACCCAGATCACCGACTACCTGCTGCTCTTCCGGGTCTACGGCCTGGAGAGCCTTCGCGACCTCTTCCCCAACCTAGCAGTCATCCGAGGCACCCGCCTCTTCCTGGGCTACGCGCTGGTCATCTTTGAGATGCCACACCTGCGTGATGTGGGGCTGCCCGCGCTGGGGGCCGTGCTGCGTGGGGCCGTGCGCGTGGAGAAGAACCAGGAGCTCTGCCACCTCTCCACCATCGACTGGGGCCTGCTGCAGCCAGCGCCTGGTGCCAACCACATCGTGGGCAACAAGCTGGATGAGGAGTGTGCTGACGTGTGCCCTGGCGTGCTGGGTGCTGCCGGCGAGCCCTGTGCCAGGACTACCTTCAGCGGGCACACGGACTACAGGTGCTGGACCTCCAGCCACTGCCAGAGAGGTGGGCACTGGCACAGAACATGACTAGGGGCACAGGAATGGCAGGGGCAGATGGGGCTGGGTGGCCACAGGATACTGTGGATCAGTACTTTCCTGCCACTGTGTTTTAATCCACACTCATCCTACGGGACAGGTACTACTATTGCTATTCGCATTTTGCAGATAAGAAAAGTGAGGCTCAGAAAAGTTAAATAACTAATGCAGCATAAGGCAGTCAAGGGATAGGCACAAGACAGATCAGGTAGACATGGAGTAGGTGAAGGACAGGTACAGGCAGGCATGGGGGAGGGTAGGCGCAAATAGATACAAGGTAGCACAAGATGCCATAAGGGGCAGTAGCTAAGTACAAAGCCAGATGGCCTGGGTTCGAGTCTCAGCTCTCCTTACTGGCAGTGTTCACTTAGCTTATCCATGCCTCAGTTTCCTCATCTGTGAAATGATCATAGGGTTGGCATGAGGAATGAGTTATTCTACCAAGCATCAGAGCAGTGCCTGGACCATGGTAGCAGTTCTATGTTCCTAATAAGAGTGGCCACAGCACAGGTGATCCAGTGTAAGCTGGCAGTACCATAATGGGGAGGTCAGGCACTGAGCAGGAGGAGAAAGAAAGAGGTGACAGATGAGAAACAGGACAGATGAGGGCAAAAATGCGAGGTGGGATCCTCTTTAGGAAGATGCACGGAGGGGAAACAAAAAGAAGGCAGTGGAGGGAAAGGCAAGGAGAAGAAGGAGGGGGTGGTTGGAGGAGGAGAGAGGGGAGGGAGGGAAGACCTTTCAGAGGCTGGGAGCACATCTGGGGTGCCCCAACTCGGAGGCCTTCTCCATTCAGCTCCTGGAAGTCAGCTCCTCTCACCCTCATCCCTCGGCACCGGGTGGGAGAGTAACCAGATCCCTGCTGTATCAGCTGGGCCCAGCTCCCTGATGCCTCCCTGTTGGCTGTAAACACAGCTGCTGCACGTCCTCTCATGTACGGTGTCAACACGCCCTGGCTGACCCCACCCCAGAGACATCCAGCTGCCGCTGTGCAGTTTCCAGGCTATGGAGCCCCCAGCCCCAAACCCTCCCACTGCTGCTGGGGGCCACCGCCTGTGCAGGGCAGGGAGCCGAAGAGACAGGCAGTATGGGCAGGGGCATGGGTGAAAGATCGGTGGTGGCGCCTCCTTGCCCTGGGCCTAGCTGCTCAGGAGAGGCTGGCTGGTTCACGCTGGCACTGTGCCCAGCCACGATCTGGGAACCAGGCCTAGACAGGACAGCAGGCTGGAGAGCAGTAGTCCTAATGGACAAGGTCACTGCTCTGTCCTGAGTTCTGACACCCCCAGCTAGGCACTATGGGAGGTGGGGAGCCACAGACTGGGGCCACAATCTTTATCCTCAAGAGCCCCTTCTAAGGGAAATAGACTCGGGTAACTGTGGTTATCCGAACTGAAGGGATTTGGGTGCAGATTGAGAGTGTCATCCCAGGAGAAATGGATTGGGGCCAGGACTGGAGAGGAGGGCCAGGACTCAGGGGACATGGGTAAGGTCTAACACAGTGCTCTGCCCACAGTGTGCCCCTGCCCGCATGGGGTGGCCTGCACAGCAGGGGGCCAGTGCTGCCATGCCGAATGCCTGGGAGGCTGCAGCCGGCCAGAAGACCCTCGTGCCTGTGTAGCCTGCCGCCACCTCTACTTCCAGGGTGCCTGCCTCCGGGCCTGCCCTCCAGGCACCTACCAGCAAGAGTCCTGGCGCTGTGTCACAGTGGAGCGCTGTGCCAGCCTGCGCTCAGTGCCCGGCCGCGCCTCCACCTTTGGCATCCACCAGGGCAGTTGCCTGGCCCAGTGCCCTCCAGGCTTCACTCGTAATGGCAGCAGGTGAGCACAGGGTGGGTGGGAGGCACCCTGGGAGCAGTGAGGAGGCCTCAGGAGGTCCACACCGGTCCAAAGCTCATGCCATCTGCTTGCCCCTGCCAGCATATTCTGCCACAAGTGCGAGGGGCTATGCCCCAAAGAGTGCAAGGTGGGCACCAAGACCATCGACTCCATTCAGGCGGCACAGGACCTGGTGGGCTGCACCCACGTGGAAGGGAGCCTCATCCTCAACCTTCGCCAGGGCTGTCAGTACCTACTTTGGGGCCACACCCCTCCTGGCCACACCATTCCTCCCAAGCCACACCCCTTATAATGACACCCCCTCCCAACCACCACTCTCCATCATCCTGGATCCCAGCCCTGAGGGTCCACCTCCTCTGGGCCCCCATGCAGCCCCCTTGCCCTGTGGACTCATCTTTCCCTGCTCCTGCCCTAGCCCTGTCTTCCCATCCCCAGACAACCTGGAGCCGGAGCTGCAGCACAGCCTGGGGCTGGTAGAGACCATCACTGGCTTCCTCAAAATCAAGCATTCCTTTGCCCTCGTGTCCCTGGGCTTTTTCAAGAACCTCAAACTAATCCGAGGGGACACCATGGTGGATGGGTAAGGGATTAGAATCAGGCCTCTGGCCAGCTCCTTCTATTGTACCCCCTCCCCTACACTGTCAGAACAGGGGTGAAGAGAATGGGCTCTGGAACCAGTTCTGCTACTTACTAGCTGTGTGACTATGGGTAGGTTACTTAACTTCTCTGTTCTTTAGTTTTCTCATCTGTAAAATGGGGCTAATATAGCACTACTTACTTCTTAGTGCTGTTTTGAATATTACTCATGTTGTCATGTGTAAAGCACTTAAAACAATGCCTGGAATACAGTATATATAATATAAATTATATTTACATATAACTGTATATGATTGTTATCATCTGATCCTCTCAGCTGCAGAGCGAGACTGCCTGGGTTTGACACCCATTCTCTACCACCTACCAGTCAAGGCCTACCTCTAATAGAGCCAGAATTTTTTAAAGTAAAAAGAATGTTTTTGCTGGGCACAGTGGCTCATGCCTATAATCCTAGCACTCCGGGAGGCCAAGACAGGAGGATTGCTTGAGGTTTGGAGTTTGAGACCAGCCTAAGCAAGAGCAAGACCCAGTCTCTACCAAAAATAGAAAAAATTAGCCAGGCGTGGTTGGTGTGCACCTGTAGTCCCAGCTACTTGGGAGGCTGAGGCAGGAGGATGGCTTGAGCCCAGGAGTTTGAGGTTGCTGTGAGCTATGATCACTCCACTGCACTCCACTAAGGCTGACAGAGTGAGATTCTCAATTAAAAAAAAGAAAAAAAGAATGTTTTAAATTGCCCTTCAGTCAAGTGGTTCCCTCTGGCTTCTCATGTCTCCTGAACACGTTGCTGGACCCTGCTGGAGAAGAATAGCCTTAGGCTGAGCACCCTCAAACACGGCACAGAGTCTGGCACGTAGCAGGTGCTCAACTAAACCGACATGAGAGAAGGAAGGCAGCAGGGAAGCTGTTGACCCCATTTCACTGATGAGGAGAACAGAGAGGGTGGGTGACTTGGCCAACATCACACTCCTGGTCAGTGGCACAGAGTGGGTGTGTACAAATGGCCCCGTGTGCTGGGTGTGAGTGGGCAGATGATGCCCCCTCCCTGTGCTCAGCACAGCCCCTCCAGGAGGACCCATACGCCACCCCCTCCCATGCCCTGCCCCCACCTCCCCACAGAGCAAGGTCCCCTGGCCTCCCCCAGGAACTACACTCTGTACGTGCTGGACAACCAGAACCTACAGCAGCTGGGGTCTTGGGCGGCCGCGGGGCTCGCCATTCCCGTGGGCAAGATCTACTTCGCCTTCAACCCGCGCCTCTGCTTGGAGCACATCTACCGGCTGGAGGAGGTGACCGGCACGCGAGGTCGTCAAAACAAGGCCGAGATCAACCCCCGCACCAACGGAGACCGCGCCGCCTGTGAGAGCCCAGCCCCAGAGCCAGCGAGCGCACCCGCAAGACACGACCCGGAGACAGACACACCCAGAGACAGACACACCCAGAGACAGACACAGGAACGCCCAGGCGCTCACGCACTAAAACACGCCAGACACACGCACCTGGGTGGGAGGGGGCACCAGCGGGGGACAGTCTGAGAAGTTCTCTGCAGAGGTCGCATTGGGGATGGGATGCCGCGGGGTCAGGGTGGGAGCTCGAGCAGGTGACAAGCGCTGTTGAAAGCGGGTGTTCCCCCTCGCCCCACCCAGGCCAGACTCGAACCCTGCGCTTCGTGTCCAACGTGACGGAGACCGACCGCATCCTGCTACGCTGGGAGCGCTACGAGCCGCTGGAGGCCCGCGACCTGCTCAGCTTCATCGTGTACTACAAGGAGTCGTGAGTGCCGGGGGCGGGGCCAGAATGGGGGCGGGGCCACAACCCGACCCCTCCAATTTCCTCAGGACTGCAGGCCCCAGTGGGGCTATGGAGAGCCAGGGAGCTGGGCCCCCCCAAGTTGCTCTCTGTTGTAGGGCCCATGTCTGGCTCTCTCCCCTCACTTTATTCTTTCATCCTTCTGTGCCTCAGTTTCCCCTCACCAAGTGAAATGGAGAAGACAGGGCTTCTGAGAGCCCAGGAGACCCATCCTGCTGGGAAGGCTAGCATAATTAAGCTTCAATTCACTATGCTAATGTTCTACACTGACCACACGCTCCTGCCCCAGCAGCGGTTTGGGGAGTGCCCACTAATTTGGCCAGTTTTATGAGCAGCTCTGCCAGCATTTCATTTAAGCTTGAGGAAGGGAGGGAGCAGGGACCGCCAGGGACCAGCTGCTCTTTTCTTTGGAGAGAGTGGACTGACCCTAGCAGGAGGGAGAGTGGTTAGACCACAGGAAGGACTTGTCTGAAAACATGGCTGGGAATCAAGAGATATCCTTAGAGGAGAGAAATGGATGTTGGGTGGCAGGTTGGGAGGGCAGGAGAGAGGAGTACTTGCTCTCTCGACGGTAGACAGAAGACAGGGGCCACCTGGCTTGAAAGCATAAAATTGAGGTCTTAGTTGACCACTAGCTCAGGGCCTGGCCCAGGAGGAGGAGGAAGGAAGTAGGTGGTAGGAGGCCTACTCAAATGGTCATGGCTCTCCTAGGCCTCAGTGGCAAGTGAAGGTCTCCAGCATGGGGAGCTAGATAGTTTCTTAAATACAGATTCTTGGGCCTCAGCCCTACAGATTCTGATTCAGTTAGTCCTGAGTAGGGCCTGAGAATCTGCATTTCTATCAAGCTCTTAAGTGACGCTGAAGCTGCTGGTGCAGGGACCACAGTATAAGGAGCACCGTGGCACCCCCGGTTTATGCAGTTCACAATCTGTGCAACTATACACAGCTGCCTCTGGGCTTAAAGGGCAGAGAAGCTTGGGGGTCCTTCAAGAAGTTTCTATAATGTCACTGCCTTGCAGTGTGGCTGTGGCTCTGCTCCCTCAGAGGCACACACTGTGGATCCTGGCTCAATTCTTGCTCTGAACAGACCCAGACCAACTCAGTGTGTCATGCCCCACAAGGCACCTGACCCCATGGCACCCACTCTGAACCTCCCCCTCTCCAACCTGCTCCAGGACTATCCTGCCTCTGGGTCCCAACAAGGGCAGGCATTTCCAGCTGGGCCTCAAGTCCCCACTCACACACACACCTGCTTTGACCTCCCCTCCAGTTTTGTCCCTAGCTCAACATGAATTCCACCTTGTCCTCCTCCAGAGAAACACCATGAACATCAGCGTGATGCTCCCTTGTCTCCCTGGTCTGCTTTGATATCTCCCAATGTGGGCTCCACTTTTATCTCCCCCAGGAAGCAACCCCCCTTCTGCCCCTAAAGTACCTCCCCAAGCCCTGCCCCTGCCCTGGCCTTCAGGCTCAGTCAGCACCGGTTGCCTCTGGCCCCAGTTAATTTCCCTGTGGCAGTGTGTCTTGGCCTTTTGGGCTCATGAACATGTTGGAGAAGCTGCCGAAAGCTAGGAACCCTCTCCCCAGAAAAGCACACATGCACAAAACCTTGCCTATGGTTTGGGAGGCTCATAGACCTCCAGAGTCAATTCATGGGTCTAGGCTAAGATGCTCTACCCCTCGGAAGAGTGGTCTCCTGGTTCTGGTTCCAGACAATCCCCCTGGAGGGGATTAGAATAACCTTATCGCTTGCTGTTCATAGGGCAGGGGGCTCTTTCACACCTACCTTCTAGCTTTATTTATACAATGCAAGATTTTTTGAATTATTTATTGAAACAAAAGCTCCATGTTCCCTGCTAAGGATGAGCAGATATTTCATCACAAATCTGGCTGGTGACACAGATATGACAGGGCCCACAGGGTCTAACAGCTGGCTGGAGTCATGGCTCTGCCCACATGCATACAGGAAGAAGAATGGCAATGACAGTCCTGGGCTGATTCAGAGGGGGAAGGTGCTAGAACTTGTGGTTGGGGCTGAGCCACCCCTCAGCTCTGGGGATGGGGTGTTCAGCCCATTCCAGAATGCCACGGAGCACGTGGGTCCAGATGCCTGTGGAACCCAGAGCTGGAACCTGCTGGATGTGGAGCTGCCCCTAAGTCGCACCCAGGAGCCAGGGGTGACCCTGGCCCCCCTCAAGCCTTGGACGCAGTACGCGGTGTTTGTGCGGGCCATCACTCTCACCACTGCTGAGGACAGTCCCCATCAAGGAGCCCAGAGCCCCATTGTCTACCTCCGAACCCTGCCTGCAGGTAGGCTGAAGCATTTGGAGCAGGTAAGTCTCCGTCCTACTGAGAATCAGAGAACCAAGCACCAAAAATAGAGAAGCTGGGGCACTGAACACGTGGCCCAGAAAGACCAGGAGGCCAGATGCCTGAGTCCTAGAAAGAATAGGGGGCATTTGCATAGGTCCTAGGGAGGCCTGGGGTTGGGACAGTACAGGGTGAGTGGCTGAGCAAACTAAAGGGCCTGTGGAGGAGGAGAAGGGAAAGGACAGAGTGCTGCATTCTAGGAAAAGGGGTTGAGGGTCACCTGTTACTTGAGAGAAGGTGGGGGGTTAGACCCCAGAGAGCGGGCCTCCTTACTGGACAGTATTCAGAAGTGGATCCGCAACCCTTGAGTTGTACCCTCCTCACACCCCCAGCGCCCACGGTGCCCCAAGACGTCATCTCCACGTCCAACTCCTCCTCCCACCTCCTGGTGCGCTGGAAGCCACCGACTCAGCGCAACGGAAACAGCACCTACTACCTGGTGCTGTGGCAGCGGCTGGCGGAGGACAGCGACCTTTACCTCAATGACTACTGCCACCGCGGTGTGCAGGGAGTCGGCGCAGGCCGGCGGGGAGGGCGGAGGGGCGGGGCGTGCAGACCACCGGTCTGACTGCTGCCTTCCCTGCCGCGGCGCCAGGCTTGCGGCTGCCCACGAGCAACAACGACCCCCGCTTCGACCGCGAAGATGGGGACCTGGAGGCCCAGATGGAGTCCGGCTGCTGCCCTTGCCAGCACTCACCTCCCGGTCAGGTCCTGCCCCCGCTGGAGGCGCAGGAGGCCTCGTTTCAGAAGAAGTTCGAAAACTTCCTGCACAACGCTATCACCATCCCCAAGTGCGAAGACGGGCGAGCGGCGGGGCGGGGCTGGTGGGCGGGGCCTGGGAGGGGCGGGTCTGCGGTTGGGAAGGGTGGGGCTTTGTGGGCGGGACCTACAATCCTGTGGGTGGGGCTTGGGCTGTGGGTGGATTTGGAGACGTTGAGTGGCTCCAGAGGGCACAGGGATGCGTTCCGGACAGGCTTGATAGGGCTCCCCCTTGGTCTCCCCAGATCCCCTTGGAAGGTGACGTCCATCAACAAGAGCCTCCAGAGGTGAGAGGGGTGGGGCCAGGAGCTGAGGGCGTGGCTCCCGGGGCTGGGCCTTGGCTCTGACCCACGCCCTCCCCAGGGACTCAAGGCGGCACCGCCGAGCCGCCGAGCCCCTCCGGCAGGGGAGCAACAGCTCGGATTTCGAGATCCAGGAGGACAAGGTGCCCCGGGAGCGAGCGGTGCTGAGCGGCCTGCGCCACTTCACGGAATACCGAATCGATATTCATGCCTGCAACCACGCGGCGCACACCGTGGGCTGCAGCGCCGCCACCTTCGTGTTTGCGCGCACCATGGCCCACAGTAGGTGACACCCACACACACCTTCACCGACCCTAAAGACCCTGTGCACTTGAGCTCTAACTAGCTGAGTTTGACCTCCCGCCAACCCGAGCCTCGTTTTGCTCTCCCCTCCCAGTTCCCGTAATTTCAGGGCTTCCCTCCCCCAAACCCCCCAATTCAGCCCAGTTTAGCTTGGGTTTGAACATAAGGTGAAACGAAGTACTTGTGGCCCTGCTGCTGGGTGCCCCCTCCCGCAGGAGAGGCTGACGATATTCCGGGAAAGGTGGCCTGGGAGGCGGCTAGCAAGAGCAGTGTTCTCCTGCGCTGGCTTGAGCCGCCAGACCCTAACGGACTCATCCTCAAGTATGAAATCAAGTACCGCCGCTTGGGAGAGGTAGGTACCCCAGGAAACCCTCTACCCCAGACCCACTTTGTGCCTCATCCCCTTCCCAGCTAGCTGTTCTGTGTTACCCCCAGGAGGCCACAGTGCAGTGTGTGTCCCGTCTTCGGTATGCCAAGTTCGGGGGAGTCCACCTGGCCCTGCTGCCGCCTGGAAACTACTCCGCCAGGGTGCGGGCGACCTCACTGGCTGGCAATGGCTCCTGGACAGACAGTGTCGCCTTCTACATCCCTGGCCCAGGTATACACAGCCTCTCTCCCAGACCTGCATCACCGAACAGACCCACCTGGTCCCCAGCCTACCACAGGCCCCTCCACCCATCCCTCCCCCGTCCTCATCCCCTAGTGTGCAAAGAGAAATGTCGCCTTCCCTCTAACTTTTCCATCTTTGATCCTGCCCTCTGCTGCCCTCTGACCCTTTCCTCGGAATGTTGGCCCTATCCAGAGGAGGAGGATGGTGGAGGGATGCACATCCTCCTCACTGTCACCCCTGTGGGGCTGATGCTGCTCATCATTCTTGCTGCCCTCGGTTTCTTCTACGGCAAGAAGAGGTGATGACAAGTCCCACCAGGTCCCACCCCCTTCTGTCCCTGAGCCCTCGCCAGAAGGTCAGTGCAGTCGGAGCAGAAAAGACGGACTTCCAATCCTAGCACTCTGGGAGGCCGAGGCGGGTGGATTGCTCAAGGTCAGGAGTTCGAAACCAGCCTGAGCAAGAGCAAGACCCCGTCTCTACTAAAAATAGAAAGAAATTAATTGGCCAACTAAAATATATAGAAAAAATTAGCTGGGCATGGTGGTGCGTGCTTGTAGTCCTAGCTACTCGGGAGGCTGAGGAAGGAGGATTGCTTGAGCCCAGGAGATTGAGGTTGCTGTGAGGTAGGCTGGCGTCATGGCACTCTAGCCCAGGCAACAGAGCAAGACTCTGTCTCAAAAAAAAAAAAAAAAAAAAAAGGACTTCTGTCCAGGCAGTAACTTTTCCCCTGAGAGTGGCATGGAGGAGACACACCTGTCACTAGAATTAGCCTGGGACGTTCCTGGTTTAAGCAATGAAAGTTCTGCATCCTGGGAAAGCCCTCAGTCTGGGAACACTGGGACTGTTGGTCACCACACTCTCAGCCCAAGCTGAGGAATAAAGAAGCTGGTTGTGCTCTAGCGGGGGAGAGGAAGGAGACCTCAGCGTGTATCCCAGGATGCCTGATGTCAGGACCCTCTGGGGCTGGCTACACAAAGGAAATGGAGGCAGGACTTTGATTAGCTGGGCTCCAGGGACTAGCTGGGGGACAGGAACCCCTCTTCTGTGTCCTCCGTATTATCATCCTGTCAGATGCTAGGACTAGGACCAAGACCAGCTTGGAAAGTGCTTAGAGCTTGCTAGGGGTCACCCTGACCAGGGCTGGGGGTGTGGTCAGCAACTTCCCTCCTCCATGAAATAGCCCTCTTCCTTGTCCTCTGACATTCCTGAGGACCCTTCCAGCCTGACCCCCTCACCTCCCATTGCAGAAACAGCACCCTGTATGCCTCTGTGAATCCGGAGTACTTCAGCACCTCCAACAGTAGGTCTGGGGTGGGTGGGCAGGCAGTGTGGGGAAGGAGACAGGGGAGGAGGGGAGGCAGACTTCCAGGAGACCTTCTTGCAGAAGGCAGCCTCCAGACCAGAGCCTTCAGAAGAGGAGGGGAGACACGGGTGGAGGCGTGGCAGAGGGTAGCATCCTTGCCCTGTGACCACCGCCTCCTCGCAGTGTACATCCCTGATGAGTGGGAGGTGCCTCGGGAGCAGATCTCCATAATCCGGGAACTGGGCCAGGGCTCCTTTGGGATGGTGTATGAGGGGCTGGCACGAGGCCTTGAGGCTGGAAAGGAGTCCACGCCGGTGGCCCTGAAGACGGTGAATGAACTGGCCAGCCCACGGGAACGCATCGAGTTCCTCAAGGAAGCTTCTGTCATGAAGGCATTCAAGTGTCACCATGTGGTAAGGGACATTGTCAGGGTCACAATTAGGGTAAAGATCATATGGCTAGAGGGAAATTGTCAGAGATGAGATTAAGGAACCATCAAGGTAAGAGTTAGGACTATGGTTAGGATCCTAATTGGAGTAAAGGTCATGGTTGGGGTTAGAGTCAAACGGTGTCTGGTAGGGTCATGGCTAGGGCTAAAATCAGTCATGGTTGGTAGTCAATATTGAGTTTCCAGATCATTACTGGGGTCATGGTTGGGATCAAGGTCAAAGTTGGACCGAGTTCATAATTGCGATGATACTCAGATATGATGAAGGTCATGGGTTAGGGTCAGGGTCATTATTAGGTCAGGATTTGGGTTACAGTCATGATTGGGGTTAGGATCAGGATTGATGTCTGGGTCAGGCTGTGGTGACAGCAGGTCAAGCTTTTGGCCAAGTAGGTCAAGGGAGCTAGGTAGACCTGCAGCCAGGCTCTTTGTCTATCCCAGGTGCGTCTCCTGGGTGTGGTGTCTCAGGGCCAGCCAACTCTGGTCATCATGGAGTTAATGACCCGTGGAGACCTCAAGAGCCATCTTCGATCTTTGCGGCCTGAGGCAGAGGTGGGGACCCTGGGCCAAGGGGCTAGAGAGTTAGAGAAGACTTGGGCACACTGTGGGGTGGGGGACAGTCCTGGGCAGGAGACTGGGTCCTTCTTCACCAGCCCCCAATCTTGGCTCTAGAATAACCCTGGGCTCCCACGGCCAGCGCTGGGGGATATGATCCAGATGGCTGGTGAGATTGCAGACGGCATGGCCTACCTTGCCGCCAACAAGTTTGTGCACCGAGACCTGGCAGCCCGCAACTGCATGGTGTCCCAGGACTTCACCGTCAAGATCGGGGGTACAGAGGGTGCCAGGCAGATGAGGGCAGCCTAAAAACTAGAGAGACTCCCTTAAGCTAGGCGTCAGGAGACCCGGGCCTGGCCCACAGCTCTGGCCCTGGTAGCCTGTGAGAACTTTGGCAAATGACCCCCACCCTGGATCTCAGTCTCGTTCAAGGGCAGAGGGGCTTGGATGGTGATCTCTGAGGTCCTTTGAGCCCCACATTCCGGGGTTCTTGGAGACGCTGGGCGTGAGAGGATTGGGAGAGGTACCCCTGGGCCAGGAGCTAGGGTGCTGTGAGGCTCTTCTGCCTCACACCTTCTGCACTCTCACCCTCACTTTCCAGACTTCGGGATGACTCGGGACGTGTACGAGACAGACTACTACCGCAAGGGCGGGAAAGGGCTGCTGCCCGTGCGCTGGATGGCCCCCGAGTCTCTCAAAGACGGAATCTTCACCACCCACTCGGATGTCTGGTGGGGCCTGGCTGGGGCACAGGGCTCCAGGGATGTGGAGGTGGGATCTGGAGAGGGACCTGGGGCACTTCCCTCCCTCGGGGTGCACTGAGCAGCGTGAAGGGTTCTGGGCTCAGGCGCTCCCATGTGTCCTCCAGGTCCTTTGGCGTGGTGCTCTGGGAGATCGTGACCCTTGCTGAACAGCCCTACCAGGGCCTGTCCAACGAGCAGGTGCTCAAGTTTGTCATGGACGGCGGGGTCCTGGAGGAGCTGGAGAGCTGTCCCCTTCAGCTGTGAGTCACCCTGCCTGCCCCCTCCTTATCCCTGCTCCGCCCACACCCCCATGATTCAGGCCCACCTCCTCTGATGCATTTACATCTGCTGATCCCCAGCTGTGAGCCCCCCCCAGATTCTAAGCCCCTGCTGCAGCTCCCATTTACCTCCCTCTGATGCTCCCAGACACAGTGCCCATGGTCCCCTGCTCCCACTGACCGATCCTCAGTGCAGGAGGCCTGGGGTGTGGCTGGGGCTCTGGGACCCCTCTGACCCTGCTCCCCACACCCGCCAGGCAGGAGCTGATGAGCCGCTGCTGGCAGCAGAATCCGCGCCTGCGCCCAACTTTCACCCACATCCTGGACAGCATACGGGAGGAGCTGCAGCCCTCCTTCCGCCTCCTTTCCTTCTATTACAGCCCAGAGTGCGGGGAGGGGCCGGGGCTCCCTGCCACCCACTGATGCGGAGCCTGACTCCTCACCAACCCCAAGAGGGGCTTCCTCAGACTGCAGCCCTTAAAATAGGGGTCCAGGACACTGAGGGACACCCCGCTCCAAGCTGACTGGCCTCCCATGGGCAGAGAGCGAGGGGTCCAACCTGCCTGACAGTGAGATGTCTAGATGTCCCCCAACCCCCTCTCAGACAGGCAGGGGCTGAGGGTGGGGCAGAGGGCAGGAGCAGGAAGGGGCATCGGAGCAGTCTCACTGTAGGAGAGAGCTCTCAGCAGTCGGAGCTCTCCATGAGAAAGCACGCAGGGTCTCAGCTGGAATGGAGATCAGGCCATGGACAAACGTCCTGCACTCAGAGTGAGGGGCCCTGCTCAGAGTAGGAAAAGATGCCCACCCACCCTGGAGGCAGGGTCCAGAGAACCCCACCCTCAGCTGTCCTGTGGACATCTGGGGCCATCAACACCTTGAAACCAGATGAGCAGTCAGACCAGGCCTGGAGCCCTCTCTGTCCATGTTTGGGATGCTCGGGTGGGTGCCCATGTGACTGTCCTGCCTGCCACTGCATTTCACCTCCTCCCTCTGCCCCCGACCAAGTGTCGTGGGGTGAATCCAGGGATCTGGGCAAGTGGTTCCCAGCCTGGCCTGCCATCACCTCTTCCTCCCCTCTTGTCCCACCCAGGATTCCCCAAGCTTGGTGCTCCCCCTCCCTTCTCTCCAGGGGCATCCCTTGGTGCACATCCACCCTCTTTTCAGTCCCTTCCCCTCAATTATTAGCCCTGGATTATTAAGGCTTTATGAGCCTTGTCTTCCTCCCTCCCCTCACCCCGCCAACCCACCCCCACCTCTCATGGGAAGGCTGGAAAAGGCACAATAAATACCGACGTCTGTTTGTACCCTGGTCCCAGGCAGCCCATTTTCTCTCCATCTATATAGTGTTAACACCGGATGAACTTCCTGTCTCCCTCCTTTGGGACTTGAGGTGGTGACCCTAAGACAGTGACACAGGATAAATACACTCTGTCAACACCATCTCTGAGAGGACCTGAGCAGCCAGAGTTGCCATGGCAGTGAAGCAGGACAATCTTGCTATTATCCCCTGTGCAGGGCCAGAAGTGGTTGCGCCTGGCAGGGAACCTTTGTATCTGGCCTCCAAGCGGAACCAACTAGTCCCTGGCACCACATCTTAATTTTGTCCCTTGCCATGTCTGTCCAGGGGGCAAGTGTTTCCTGAGTACCACAGGATAGACTTTAAGCGGGCAAACATGGGGTGGGGGAGGGGCCCTGATGACATCACCAGTTTGTGCTCTATGTCTCCCACACAAGGCAGGGGACACACACCAGGGCAGGGTGTGTGTGTCTGGCACCCCATGGTGACCTGTGAGGCCAGAATCTCAGCTTCTGGCTGAGATGCCTTTGAGGCATGTCAAAGTTGCGCAGGACAGCCAGTTCCCAGGCCTTTATGCCGGTGCCAGGAGGGACTTGAGGGAGAGAGTTGCCGAAGGACTTCAAACCTTGACGGAGTGGGTGGCAGTGGGAGGGGCTGGCCACGGCTCAGGGCTTTAGTTTCCTGCATCCAGGTGCTTGGGGCCACAGCTCCCACACGCTGCCACCTGCTCTGGGTATGGTGACATGAGTGCCTCTGAGCACCTTGCTCACTCCTGCCAGCAGCTGTCCTGTAAGCCGCAGCTCCTTCGGGCGGGGCCTGGGTGGAGTGGGCATGAGTCTGTGCCAGGCCGTCTCTAAGACAGTAACTACTCTGTTACCCCCATGGAGTCAGGGCTGGCAGCAAGGACCACCCTTCCCCTGCCTGGCATTGGTGACTGAAGCAACAGTGACCCCTACTGGTAGCTAGCAGAACCGCAGTTAAGGGAGAACAGAGTGCAGGAGGTTGTGTCCCCTCCCTTCTGATGCTGGTCCCCCGGAGGCCTGCAGGAGAGTGGAAGGGCAGAGAGACTCCACACAGGCCCTGGATCTGAGACCCACACGCTCACAGAGCACACAGCACGCCTGCAGCTGCACATGCCCGGAGGGCAGCACTGGGGTCGACCCCTCTCCCCACCACCCATGCCCCTGGCCTTCACAGTGCCAGTCACTGCATGCTCAGGAAGCGCTGCTCATCTGGATGTAGAGGAGCTCAAGAAACAGGCTGGGAGTCAAAGAAAAGAGGGCTTCAGAAATATGCCATCTGGGCTCCGCCTCCAAAGCAGGTGATGACTGGCCCAGAAGTACTTTCTGGAGAAGGATATAGGGGCAAGCTAGAAGACAAGCTCACTGCCATCCAGGTCCTAGAAAAGAAGTGGATTTAACAAGGTAGCAAGAGGGATGGAGGTTGGACTTCAGAAAGGACTTCCCAACTCTACAGAGAAGCCTTGTCTCCTCTCTCAGAGACATCTGGAGACAGACAACAGGTTGACCTGGGGAAGGAGGGATGGACACCTACCACATAGGCAGAGGGTAAATTCCATGTCTAAAAGAATCCAGAAACACCCCTCTTGGTCTCCCCTTCTCCCCCAGATTCAGACAGAACTCCAGGAAAAATAACCTGCTGCTGGCTGGACAGAGTAGAGACAGATGAGCATAAAAGGGCATATTCACCATCTATCCCCTCGAAACTGTCCCTGTGGCCTTGTGACAGGTCCTCCACCTGGGCAGTGGGTGCTGGGGACTATGGGTCTCATGCCCTACCCCCTACAAGCTCAGAAACAACTGATGTGTCTTTGTGGGGATTGGGACAACAGGTTGGAGTCCTGCAGGGAGAGAGGCCCGGAGGCCTGGGAGAGGAGGTAGAAATGGCCAGAGTCAGGGGAGCTGTCCCCTGAGCCAGGTCTCAGTGGAGGAAGGATGAAGTGGGCATTCACAGTTTCTCTTCCTCTAGGCTCTGGCTGCAGAGCAGAGGGTTGTAGCAGAGGCAGTTCCTGGATGTCACCAAGTGGGAAGAAGAGCGGGGTACAAGAACATGAGACCTCAGCATCCCACCCCTGCTCTTGGCAGAGTCTCTCATCTCGCCCCATAACACCAAGCTCGCTCCAAGTCCCAGAAAGCTTAGATGGGGGCACCGGGTCTTAGCTGCCCAACTGAGGGGCAATCCTGGAGTGGAAACTGTGGACTTTACCCTCGGCCTAGTGTCCACACACCGTGGAAGATCCCTGGTCCATGAGCTGTTTGGCTTCTCCAACTTTCGGCTGGGGGCTCCGAACAAAGGGGATGTTATGTTAGCACAGGGCCACCAGCCCGCAGCAAAGTTCTTCCTCCTTCCAGCCAGAGGCTCCTGTGCACAACCCCTCAGGCCAGTGCTGTCTGTCCCCTGGGGTGGGAGGAGAGTTTGGGTTTCCTCCCATCCCTGTGGGGACTCGCCTCCTGCCCACCCCTTACATTTGTCCAGGAGGCAGAAGGCCCGGATACCTGGCTCATCTCCTGGTCACCCACCATGAAATTGAGCTCCTCTGGGTCACTCATCCAACAGGGCCACTAATGGGTCACCACTAATATGGCATTCTCCACTGCTAGAGAGGGTGAGGGAAGTGGCCTCCTCTCGAGTGTGTGCCGAATCAGGAATTGTGGTGGGCGAGGCTGGGGATAGATTCAGACCGGGGAGTGTGTGGTGAGGCCCCGGGTGCACAGTCAGTGCGGAGGGTTCTTGGTGGGTCCCTGGGTGCACAGTCAGGTTGGAAGGGTGCTCGTGAGCCCCGGGCACACAGTTAGCAGCCTGAGATCAGATCCTCAGCCTCAGCTGATAACTGACTGACGCAATGCTCTTCAAAGGGGTCACATGGCTAAGAGTTTTGATGTCCTTGCTATTGAAAAGCAGCCTGAATGGCCATGGGACAGTGTTCAGAGTGGGCGGGTGAGGAGTGGGGTGACACTGGACCTGCATATCTGAATTTCCCTAACTATGGGCTATTTGCCCTTCTCCAAAGTCAGGAGATCTAGCCCCTTGCCCAGGATCCTGGCTAACTGAGTAGGTGGCCCAACCCCAGCTTAGATATGCTCCTCATTTGGCCCTGGGAAGACAGGACATCTGAACAGTTTGGCTCCCAGAATTAGCAGGCTAGGCATTCCAGGCAGAGGTCCCACTCTCCCCAACCTCATCACTGCCACCATTGAAGAGGGAGGGAGAAGAGAGAGGGGCAGAGAGGAGGCACTCACTGGGTGATGATGAGACCGAAGTCCTAGGACAAACAAGGAGGGCTGATCCAGGGGTGCATGACATTCCTCTTGCCTCTCCCATCCTCTCCCTCCACCCAGAGTGGGAGCAGTTCTCAAGCACCAAGGCCGTTCTCCTGATGCCAGGCAGAGGGAGGGCAGGAAAGGATGGGGGTGTCGGGGAGGTCATGAGCAGAAGGAGAAACAGACAATGTGGGATGTGGAAGAGAGAGGGGCACAGAGAGGTGGGGAGACCTCTCTACACACAGCAACGACGCTCTGAGGACACCCCAGGACTTCTCACCCACCCCTACCCCTTTGATGTCTGTGGGTCTGGCCCTCACCCCTCCCCACTTGTGAGAAAGAACAGGGAGACTTTCTGCTTGGTCATTTCCGGAGATGGCGGGTCACATCCTGAGAGAGCAGAGGGCCCACTCTGGCTCCCACGCACGCTCTCAGGTTGTGTCAGGCTGTGTCCTTAAGCAGAACTGGACAGGAGGGGTGAGGTGGACAGAGGTGCAGGGGGAGAGAGGGGAAAGATGGACGAAGCAGAGAAGACCAGGGTGGCAGCCAGGAGGAAATTCTGAGACTAAGAAGGATTCTCAAGAAAATGAGACGAAAGGGACAGAGGTCGACAGCTGGGTCAGGCAAGGAGTAGAGAGGGAGGAGGGGCCCAGCCAGCATCCATCTGCTGCCGAAGCAGGAAGGATGGCGGTGGCACTGTGGAAAGACTTCTGGGGGTGGAGGGCACAGGGGTGAAGGAGGCAGGGAGGGCAGCCTCTTTTGGAGGCAGAATTTCCTAAGGCAGAGACGTCCATGCTGCAAGGCCAAGGGCTGTAACAAGAGAAGGACGCCCGGCGCTTTGTAAGCTACAGTGCACTGTGCCAAGTATTGTCCTTGTTATCTAAGTGTGGAACCATTTAAAGAGATGCTGCAGAAGTACGTTTAGTGACATGGAAAAATAGTCGTGATGACCTGCAGAGTGAAATGAGCAGGTTACAAATAATACGAATGATGCCATTGTTCACGTTTGCATGCACAAACTGAGGAAAATGCATACATATGCTTCTGCGTGGTGGGTTGTGAGAGATTCATGTCTTTTTTTTGCTTACCTGTATTCTCTTTAGGTTTTTTATAAAGATACAAAATTAGCATACAGTATTTATATAGCGAAAAACAAGCAGTTTGCTTTTACAAGGAGGCTCCCTGTCCAGAGGGCGGAGGTCCGAGGGGCGGGGCTCAGGACCGGTGAGGGCAGAGCGTGATGGGCCTGGCCCTGCGCCCCCTGCCTGGGCGTCCCCATCATCAGAGGCCTGCTGGGCCAGTTGTGGACGCGGCCCTTTGTCGGCCAGCGTGATCCAGTGGAGAAAGTGCGGACAGATCCGGATTTGAATCCCAGCTCTGTCGTGTATTGCTCGTGAGACCCTGGGCATGTATTGCACTTCCATAAGGCTCAGTTTCCTCATCTGTAAAATGTTAGCAATAGTATGAGCTCCACACCAGATGGTTTCCTGTGTTAAAGTGTGTGTCAAGTGTAGACATGTAGTAGTGTTCAATATATTTTAGGTATAAGAATAATAAATAAGCTGAGCACAGTGGCTCACACCTGTAATCCCAGCAGCTGTTTGGAGGCCAAGGTGGGAGATTGCTTGAGCCAGGGAGTTTGGTGACCCACCCCGGGCAACACAGGCAAGACCATCCTTTCTAACAAAAAATAAAAGACAATTAGCTGGGTGTGGAGGTGTGTGCCTATGAGTCCCGCCTACTCAGGAGGCTGAGGCAAGGAGGAATTGCCTGAGCCGCAGGGTTCAGAGGCTGCAGTGAACTATGATTGTCGCCACCTGTACTTACCCAGGCCGGGAGAAAGACAAGACCCATCTCTAATACACACACGACAACTTAATACACACACACACACACATTATACACACACTCACATAATATATATACTTTTGAAATAGAAACTCTCTTTGCCATCAGCGGAGTGGGCTCACCGGCTATAATCCTAGCAGCTCCTGGGAGGCCAGGTGGGCAGATCACTTTATGTGCAGGGAGTTCGAGACCAGGCCTGAGCAAGAGGGAGCCCGGTCTCTTCTAAACAACAGAAGAAATTAATTGGCCAACTAAAAATATATAAGAAAAATTAACGCGGGCATGGTGGCACTTGCCTTTAGTCCCAGCTACTCTGGAGACTGAGGCAGGAGGATTGCTTGAGCCCAGGAGTTTGAGGTTGCTGTGAGCTAGGCTATGCCACGGTACTCACTCTAGCCTGGGCAACAGAGTGAGACTCTGTCTCAAAAAAACAAAGAAACAAAAAAAGAAAAAGAAAAAGAAAACTCTTTTCCAGTGTGAATTATTGGTCCCAGGGAGGAGCAGCGGCCCTGGGTGAGGGACTTACAGAAGTGGGGTATATTTCTAGGCTTGGGAAAGAGAGGAGAGTGGGAGACCAGTGGGGAAGAATTTGGGGGGAGGCCTCACTG